CGAATCCATTCGGGGCTCTTGCTCCCAGGGGTGGCGAAAATCTCGGGAGTTGAGGCAGCATTCACTTGACGGTCAAACTGGGCAGACCGTTGGTGCAGTACTCGCTCCATTGTTGCCGCTTCAGTAAGGAACTCAGCAACACTTTTGGGGGGACTACGCACCAAACCAGCAAAAAGTTGTTCCTTCACACCACGCATGAGGTGGCGCAACTTTTTTTCTTCTGCCATAGCAGGATCCGCTCGCTTAAAAAGCCGTGTCATGTCCTCGACGTACATCGAGACGGTCTCGTTGGGCATCTGGATGCGTGATTGAAGTGCACGCTCCGCCCGTTCGCGGCGGTCGGGACTCCTGTAGGCTGTAGGTCTCCAGGAGGCGACGCTGGAACTCGCGCCAAGATGTCAGAACATCATCCCTGTTCAAAAACCACGTCTTGGCACCGTCTTTTAGGCACGTGTACACGTTCCGGAGCTTCGCGGCATCATCCCAGTAATTGATCGCTGCGACACGTTCGAACTCACTCAGCCAGTCGTCAACATCTTCATGCTGCGCTCCGTGAAAGGGGCTAGGCATGAGCGGGTTCTGGACGGTGCAGTAGATCGGCGTGGAAGGTGTCGGAGCTTGCATGGGATCTTGTGTTGAAGTCATAGTCGCTGCGTCAGTGGTTGGTGTCTCGGGCGGTAGGCCTCGTTGGCGGCGGCTTACTCTATGAACAGGAGTGTCCACGGGTGCAGGGCTTGTGTTCCGGCCGCTGGACGGGGTCTTGGGCATCGGGTGGATTGCAAGACGTTGTACCCAGCACCTCCACCAGTCTTGTCACGTTACTCTCGACAAACTTGATAAAAAATGGGCTCGTTTAGTCGACTACTCAAGCAGCAGCTCAGAGAGATCGTCTTTGTCTTCTTTCACACTTCGATCTCACCCAAGCAAACCATGTGGCAATATATATAGTCATGCAATGCCCCTTTGGACTGCTACTATTTTTAGGCGGTGCATTTCTCATCCGACTACGTTAGATTTGAACTACTAGTTTTGAGACCTCATACTGTCGAAAAGGTGAAATCTACAGAGCGCATTTCAGCTTCACCAACTGTAAACCATTGGCGCAGGGCTACCCAGGATTTCTTTTTTTTTTTTTTTTTGAGGGGGTAGTGGTATGTGCACCAGAACGCCTAAATTTTACAATTGGTAGTCGCTGTGAATGCGTGTAAATATTATATTATACATTGAAAATTTAATTTACGAAAACATTTCCTGGTGTAGGTGGTTCAGATTACCTTCCTCTCCCCATTATACTTATGGCTTTCTGATTCTGTGAGTGTGTGACACAGTATTTGTTTTTTAATCTCACAGCTTTCTGAGCACAGCTAACTTCCAATAAATCGGCTCAGTATATCTGAATATTCTAGACGCCTTACCAACAAATAAAGAGCTAAGAGAGAAGAAATCGGTATAAGACACACTCTTTCTGAATTATTTTCGATTTCTCACAAGAGCTTTTAAGGAGCTCAAATTTGGTAAATTGGCATGTCATACTTGAAGGGCTATGGCATCATGTGCTAGACATGAATGATGGGCAGGTACGAAGAAATCTGCATCAATAAAGCGCGACGAAGGAGCCGAAGTGCATAGCAGCTCTTGCACGGGGCGAGGCACGGTCACGCCACTCAGCACTTCTAGTACACTTTAGTTGTGACTCCAAAATACGGCTTCTGCGCGAAACACGTGCGCCACGTGGCGCAAACTATGCAAGGGGTGTCATCACCCCCACAGAGTAAGGTCAGTGCAAGTTCAATTGTGGTTGCAGTGTTGGCTATCAAATTTTCTAAAAAAGGAATAAACATTCCATACCTAGACCCATCGTACAAAAGTCATGCTGGGTTAACGTCAATTGTGGTTCCAATGTTTACTCCAAGTTAATAGCAGTCTGATAAACATTACATTTGTATTCCTATAATTCAACAAGTTACTTTAAGCATTACTTGACCCCTGGGAAATATGCTAACGAAAGCTACATGTGTTATTCACAGCATCACACCATAAAGAGCACTTTGTTTTGATTATGATCACTTCTGTGCACTAACGCGAGTGGTGACATGTCAGACCGTAAGTTACCCAGTGTAGTCGCCAGTACACGGCAGTGTAGCGGACATTTCTGGTAAGCCTGCGATGTGTACACGACTATTGAACTTGACCTTGATCCATCTCGTAGCACTTGCTTAAAAGCTGAAAAAAACCCAGCATGCCCTTCAACATTATGCCTCACATAACCAACTTAACTTCATACAAGAACAACATTACAGCCTAACACTGCTGGTGCTGATGGTGTGCATGTTGTGGCGGCATCGTTGCGTGACTATGAAACCAATTCTCACATTTACATGTGAATGCATGTAATACATGAATGCATGTAAAATTTCTACATGCGTTTGTCGAATACCACATTCACCTGTAATGCTATCTATGCTCATTTCATATGTGCCGCATCGGAAACTTCCTGATGCATGCTTCGCGTATCATAAATTCTCATGGTACGTGGGATCTGCCGAATTTTGTATCTTCATATCTTTCTTCCCATCTCTGTTTCTTTCTCTCTTTGTCCTCTTCCTTCTCACATTTGTCCATCACTTCACGCTTCTTCTATATTCTGGACAAATCGGCACACATGTTCTCGAGACAAAGCAGAAAATGAGGATAATGAAGAGCGCATGCTGGTTCATGATGATAATCTTGAGTGACTACATTTTCTGCAGAGCTAGAGCATCTTTGCTGCTAAAGATTCGTACGGACTTCCCCGTGACTTTGTGCTGCAAACAGGTGGTTGTCAATTTTCTTTTCAAAACTAAGGATCCGAGAAGCCGCACCTGGATTATGGGAAGTGCGATAGCCGATCACCTCCGCAACTACGAAAATAGTCCTGCACATGCGCTTGGCAATGTTCTCTAAAGGCGTGGTCACCATTCGGTTCATGATGCCAGTCTGGAGGGCATGACTATCAATGCGGGCCCGCGTGCATCTTCTTTTCAAAAGGAAAGGCTATAGACTTGTAAAGGTGTATCCATAGGTCGGCTAACTCACTCAGACTGAGGTCAAGCCACGAGTATTAGTCCGAGCAACTCTCTGTTAGTAATCTCAAACCTCGATAGAACGAATTAAGGTTATAACAAAGTAAATGAAGAAGTAATGCTATAGATATAGTGTTAGCAATATACCTTTATAACGAATTTTCGGATAAAGCACTTACGTATTTTCGTGTGAGATGCAACTTCATTATGATAAGGTTTGAGTGTATTTTGGTGAGGTTGAGTCTGAGTGAGTTTGGTTATCAAAAATTTTAACCTGTCAGAGTAACCCCAAGAGCGAAATATATTTCGTAAGGGTCGAAGTTGGCTCCACATTCTTTGATGGCGTATGGTTGTATACGAGTGTAATGAGCGAGCGTGTGCTCCAGTAATTGTTGCCCTTGCACTGATGTCATTGCTGAGTTTAACGACCTCTGCAATTAGCGGAAATTTGCACTGATGCACATTAGTGCAATACAGTGCCACACTCCGACGCTTTTGCTTTAATTGATTGATATGTGGAGTTTAACGCCCCAAAACCACCATACCATTACGAGAGATGCCTTAGTGGAGGGCTCTGGAAATTTCGACTACCTCCTGTCATTCTTTGACGTACAACCAAATCTACTTTTGCTTTAAGGAGCCCATGTTACAGACCCTCAGGTTTTGTCATCGGTTACAAAGCTATTGTGTTTCACTATTAAAGTGAAGCTTAAGTGTTTTTCAACTTATTCTCACTTTTCTTGTTTTTGAGCTTTCCTTTAGTTGTTAAGAGTGCTCATTTTATATTTTGTAACAATAATAAATGGTCTTCACTGGTGCAACAGCCAGTTCTTGCCGAAGTGCACAAGAATTCGCAAGAGCACCACTAAGTTTTAATGATGTATTTTCATATTCTGTTTGCTTTTCTAGCTGTCTATTGTTACTCCACAACAGATTACGACAGAAAGTAGGCTTTAACACCAATCGGAATACTGTGGCATCATTTGAATAGCAAGAGCATCGAGTAAGTTGTAACCACTAAAATATCTTACACCATAAATGTTCCTGTACTTAGGCCACATTAGCCCATACATTATGCTCTTAAACTTTACGATACCAAACGGGGCGTAGCTGAACACTTCACCACACGAAGGCACACTTCACCTTGAACTGTGCCTTCGTGGCTTGAATACACAGGATTATGACACAGTGGCTGCAAGGTGCAGTGAAACAAGCTTTACAATCCGGTTACACACCTACTTGTTTGTTTCATATATCAAACCTTGATATGACAAACATTGATACGTAATGAATTATCGGTTATAAGAAAGATAATGAAAGATTTTCGGATATATCTGAATTATTTTAATGTCAGATGGAACTTCTGTTTTAATGAGGTTTGAGTACTTCAAAATTTCAGAAATATTAACTTCATGTTCCAAGCAAATTTTTTGAAATAGTTCTTGAAATTCCTTTAAAAATTGGATGCGGTGGGATATTCGCACATGCCCAGCATTGGCCATTCAGTATGCATAGCCTTCGAACACTGCAGCTGGCACTTAGTTTGCAGTTGAAGCCCCTTTATAAAAGAGACACATCGGGAAGCGGTTATTGTCCTTTATATGAGGGGGTCTCTTATAAGCAGGGTACGACGTTATCATTTTCTCGTCAACCCTAATTTCAGTGTAGGCACACTCGTGTCTGTCACACTCGTGTCTGTCACACCAGATTGTCTTTTACGTCAGTGCCTTTCAGAAAAATGTTCAACTGTGTAGGAAACGAAGTTTAGGGTATCGTAACCAGTAAAAGCTAATAAAAAACTATGATATCATCTGCACTAATATCAAGCACTTGCCTCCAAAGGTCACAGAGTCATAAGCCTGAGCAGCTTGTCGATTGGCATTAATGGAAATACACAAATGAACTAATGAACAGTCGAAAAACGAAAAGTCCACAGGCTCGCACTTATAAAGCACAGCAGGCACACTTTATTGTCCATTTGTCACGCCTAAATAACAAAAAATCATCGCACTTGTGGCATGTAAACTAATGCCTATCATTTTAAAATAATATTCGTAAGTAAATACTTCTAAACCAGGCTTGCACACACCATTCTTGTCTCACACGCACAATGGTTATCATAGCCACACGAATCTCACAATTGCTATCATACACGCAAAGCCACATTGCAGTGATCAAAAACAGATAAAAGTCTCACCAGGGGTGCAATCTTGTACATGCTCCGTGATGGAATATAGCATAACGGTACGAGAGGGAGAAAACTGCCAATAGGATAAAGGGAAGCGCTCTGGAAGAGTGTATCATGTTTTAATCGTCCGCTGGGGTACCCTATAATCGATTAAAAAATGCTTTCAACACACAAAAAAATTACTAAAATGAACACCAACATCTGCGTTCATTGTCGCTAAAATATTAAAATTGAAGAGCGCGATGACTTTAATTAGTTGTGTCACTATCTACATTCGGTAATTGCTAGGTGGTGTCACAACTTTAAGACATGTTTAGTGGTGGCACTTGCAGCAATTTTTGCAAATTATTGGCGTGGGATTCAATGTGCCACACACTAAGCAAGCTAATTAGCTTGTCCAACCCGAGTCTCATTTTTTACATCCATTCTGTCGGAACAGTGTCTCTCCTCCGTGCTGCGCACAGTTCTTTACCTAGCATACGACAAAATAACTTGCAGCACTGCATTTTTTGGTTGCTGTTCCCATGTGTGATTGTCAGATGAGCCTCTACAAATCCTGTGCCGTAGATTGAACATTTTGCCAGAGAAAGTGTAAAAGAATCACAGCATCTTGCAACTTCCTACGTCACTGGAAGAGCAACCATCTTGAGGCGAAGGCAGTACAAAAGTTTCTTGAGCTGGAAGCAGGCATCAGTAGTATGGGCAGAGCACATCTGAGAGTGAGTGCACAGTAATAGTGCTTGGTACGGCCAGTCGCACGAAGAAGGCTGGTCGTATGAAGACAGCCAGTCGCGAGCACTTGAACCGTGAACACACAGCTGCATGACAGGTTCCTGCAACAGTCAGAAAAGTTAGTCACTTGGCATCGCTTTAGTCCGTCAGTTGGTGTCGAATTAGTCCTGCTAACCGCAAAAGTGCACGTAGGCAAATGCCGCACATTTTATGACTTTGGAACCCGATTTGGGCTTAGCGGGTTGTTGCCCTAAATGAACGAGCCACTTTCATACCCATGAAAACTTCTGGACCCCAATCGACGAGGGCAAAGAAAAAAAACACAAGACATCAAGATGGGTACCATCCTGTTGTTTGTGTGTTCTCTGTCCCTGTTCCAACTTGTGCCATAAAGTACCCTCAGTCTTTAATCAACACGAACTAGTACACTCAAACTTTGACAATAACGAAAGCAGATATAACAAATTATAGATTATAGTAATGAAATAAATGAAAAATAGATAGTTTTCCAATACACTCATACCTCGTTATAACAAAGTTGAAGGGGAGCCATAATTACTTCATTATATCCATTATTTCGTTATATCGATTATAACAGTTTGTGGCAATGTCTGTTCAGATGGGCGCACACCTATAAGCATGCAAAGAAGGAAACAGCCTCACGGCCCAATGCACCGCTACGCGAACACGCGAGCCATGGAAAATAAACTCAGTCGAATCTCATTAATTCGAACTTTCGGGTAATTCGAACTCACGTTGAGGTCCCATCAAAGCTATGTGTATTCCAATGGAAGAAAACGCCCTGTAATTTGAACGCGCAAGCAATTGCGACGGTTAATTCGAACATACGGCACTCCGAAAATGCTCTCAGCACCATGCCGAATCTCGGGGCGGCACCTCTCAACGCTGCGCGCGAAGAAGGAAAAGAAGAAAAGGCAAAAAAAAAAGACTGTGGCGGATTGTTTGCTCTCTTTCAAATGCCGATCTGCGACGCGCCTGTGCCACGCTTCTCTCTTTTCTGTTTCTGCACGTAGAGACCCTTTTCCTTTCAAGGCCGTGCGCGGAAAGAAAGGAATAAAAAAAGAAAGCTGTCGCGGAGAGTCATTTTTTCTTGGTGCAGAGGGTCGCAGCCATGGTAGCAGCAGAGACGCAGTTGTTGCCGTCGTGGGAGGGAAATCGCTTTGCACCGCGGCGTCACTTCTCGGTCATGTGACCCCCTGACGCTTCCTCAATCTTCTCCACTGGCTGTGTGAAAAGCACGGCTCTATCGGCCGCGCGGAACGTGGCTGTAAAGTTGGCGCGGAAGTTTTCAAAGAGCCTCGCCGAACCAGCGTCAAACTCCGCAGAAAACAATATACTTAACACACTACGGTCGTTTTTTTTTTTTTATAGACTATTTGATAAACTAATTTAGTTCGTTATATACATATACCGGTCAATATTACTTCGTTACAATGAGGTTTAAAATGCAAGGTTCTCAATGGAGCTTTCAAAGGGAATTTCATTTATTTCGTTATCCATTATTTCCATTATTTCATTATATTTCATTATGTCATAACGAGGTTCAAGCATAGGTACAGTGTTAAGAATATACCTTTACACTCAGCTCAATTATTAAAAAATAGCATTTTACACGAAAATAAGTTCGTTATATCCACAAATTCGTTATAAAGGCTTATTCCTAACACTACCCTAAAATGTGCAGCAAGCGCCCTCCTCCCATTTTGGGACATATGAAATAAGCGTCAAATAAGCACCACTGACCGGTCCTGGGCCGAGCAAGTGAAGCGCCTCCTCCCGAATCTGGTCGAATTATTCTTCACCGTTGGGGGAGCGCTTGCTTGGCATTTCAGGGCATATCTATTGTGAAACTATTTTTCATTCACTTTGTTATAACTAACTTTTCGTTATATCCAAGTTTGCTAAAATGATGTTTGAGTGTGTAACGAACTGTCAGATAAAACAAACTTACTTTTGTGTGAGATGCAACTTTGTTATAATGAAGTTTGAGTGTTAGCTCAAACCAAGATCCTTCTCGGATGGCCACTCACCATCCTCAATGCTTGGTCGATGCAAAGCTCCGGCTACTGCAGTGGCTGGTGAGCTCCAGCCGTGGGAAGATGTTCATGGACATCAGCTCCTGGAACAGCAGCTTGCACGCGTACGGAATGCGCAGGGTTGCGATGGCACTCGACGAGCGGCAGTAGTGGCACCAGTGCGAGTAGGCTAGGAGGCCGCACGTTCGGCAGACGTCCACCTGCACAAGATGGGGGAGGTGTTGAACTAAATCCAGAAAAAGCTCCTTAGTAATTTGAATTTGAAAGCGACTATAAAATAGTCCGAATTAATCCTTTGAGTGTTTTTGATGTGCATGTGCAGCAGTGATTGATAAAACAAACTTGTGGGGTTTAACGTCCCAAAACTACCTCATGATTATTAGAGCGGAGAGCTTCGGAAATTTACACCACCTGGGGTTCCTTAGGGTGCACCTAAATCTGAGCACATGGGCCTACAACATTTCTGCCTCCATCGGAAATACAGCTGCCACAGCCGGGATTCGATCCCGCGACCTGCGGGTCAGCAGCCGAGTGCCTTAGCCACTGGACCACTGCGGCGGAGCCCTGTGTGCAGCAGTGGTTTTCTGTCGAGCATTGTCTTTGCCATAAAGGTATGTACACTCAAGCCTCATTTATAACAGTCACATCTGCCACGAAAATACTTCGTTATATCTGAAAATCTGTTATAAACAAATATTCTTAAAACTGTATCTATGCCAAAGCTATTCTCCACTTACTTCATTATAACTAATAATTAGTTATATCAAGGTTTAATAGTATTCAACTCTCCACTTGAAATTTCGCACCTTAAAGAGGCCCTGCAACATTTTTTTTGTGCAGCTATGGAATGAATTTACTAAAGGAGGTTATTGCCTCACGAATTAACCACCACGAAATTTTTTAGAATCAGTCCAGTACGAGTGGAGTTATTGCAGTCTCCTCTCGTCCGGACGAAAGCAGTGGACGCTACACAGGGAGGGATGGTACGGGGAAAGCAAATACATCATGCACGCATCACGACCTTAAGCAATTCTTTACTTTTTTTTTTTAATGCACGGCATAAATTTAGTTTGGTTTGATTTTGCAACATACTGTGATCACTGAGGTTCAACTGTGAGGAGAAATGGAAAGCAGGGACTCCCACTTCGAAATAACCGCTGTGGATACCGACACGTTCAAATTATTGGCAGTTTCGCCCATAGAAATACACAGGGCTGTGCCTGGACCGGGGCACCAGTTCAAGTTAACTGTAAGTTCGAATTGGCAAAGTTCGATTTATCAAGCCTAATGAGCCAGTTAAAAAAATTGGACAATAAATGTATTAATTTAGCGAGAGACATTTAAAACTTATTAATCTAGAAGACATGGCCACTGTTACGCACTTCGCAGGCATCGCTGGACAACATCAGTCTCTCTAGAAGCAGCATGCTGGCACCATGTCCAATGAGGCAGTCTCGCTCCATCTCGCCCAGCCGCAGTCCGCCTTCGCGTGACCGACCCTCGGTGGGCTGTCGAGTGAGCACGGCACGAGGACCCCGTGCCCGGGCGTGCACCTTGTCCATAACCATGTGCTTGAGCTTCTGGTAGTAGATGGGGCCCATGTAGATGTACGCCTGCAGGAGCTCCCCCGTTATGCCAGATGTGAGGCAGTCCTTGCCCAGGTAGTTGAAGCCACGCTGAATCAGCTCCTCACCCACGTCCTTCACCTGCGTGGATATATGTGAAAACAGAAATTCGGACAATAATTGACGGGCGTATATCGCTCATATTTGACGTTCTATTTTTCTTCATCATTTACTGGAATTACCGCTTAGAGCAAGACACACATGAATGAATCGAAGCTCTCTTGAATGTTGTAGCCAAATTCACACTTATAGCATCTTTGTTCACATGCATTTTACGACCTAAACAATGGTGGATATTCTTGAAAATTCTGAAAAGCACTAGTGACTACTCTTGAATTATTGATGACCCATGTGTAACTACGAGATGCACAAGATCCTCAAATTGAATTAGAATGAAACAACACTGCATTTGCGGCTATCGTTTTACAAGGGGTGTAGTGTGTTGTGACAAAAATTACTTGGATAAACATTTTAAAATGTGACTAATTGTTATAGGCATGCACAGTTCTTCGCAGCCACACTAATATCATAATAAGCTCGTGGCAAGGCTGTGCCCCGGAATTTTTTTGTTTTTCATGGGATGTTTATGTGTAGAATGGCTCACTTTGGCAACAGCGGGTCGATTTGAAGGCGTGTAGATACTTCAGTATCAACCGAAAAGCCAAACCATGAAAAACTATTGAAGGGTGTCAGAACCTCTCAACTCCCAGCTATAATTACGGCCCTGGTTCGCGGCGTCTCAACTTACAGGTGCCACGCTACGTCCTCGAGGCCATATCATTCGTGCACCATTATCCCAATTCGCCGAGATCAACAAAGAAATGCAGTTCGCAAGCCGTGTAGCAGGTGTATTGCTCCCTATTGTCCATGACAACATCCAGGCACTGGCACGACATGATTCCACCAAGTAGTTGAAACCTACAGAAGTGCAATTGATGTCCCACAAAAAAATATACGATTGAGTTTGTTTCAGGTGCTTATTGCTATTCCCAGACTCCTTTTTTCAGATAATGTGTTTATGAGCTTACAATAAACATCAGATGTCACACCGGCTGCTTATTGAGAGGTGCGATTGAAATGTAACGAGGTTTAACTGTACAGTGCCAATTTTTGTTAAAGGAAACACGCGAGCGCAGGACCTGTGCAAGGCGATTACGCAAAAGGCTGAGCCTGGTCTCTAGCGTAATGGCCTTGAAGAGGGAGAGGGCTGCAATCTGTCCGCTGATTCTACACCACTAGTGAATGGTTGTTTTGCTCCCGGCTAGATGACGCGAATAGAGGCTGTGGTTGCTCTCGCTTCCACTTGAACACGTTGAAAGCACCCGCCGGTGCAATTATTATTCTTATTTAGCCTGTATACACAGGAAACACAAGACGCAGACAAAAAAAGGAGGGTACGGACTGACAATTGTAAGGGCACAGCGCCTGCCTCGTTATTTAGGAAGAGGACACAGAGGGAAGAAAGACAGGACGGAAGATAAAAGGGAAGGAAAAAACAAAAACTTATACACAAATGAATAGTTATATAAAAAACTGTTTATAAATGCGAGGCCATATTGGTTTTCTTTAAGAAAGTTAGCAGGGCTCGGTGGGTCTGGTCACGCCTAGTAGCACATTCTGGCGGGAATAGGCAATCGTCACGGGTCATGCACTCGATTACTTGTTCCTGGGAGGATGTGCTACTAGGCATGACCAGGCTCACCAAGCACTGCTAACTTCTAATTTAGCTTCTCGTTTATAGACTTTAATCGAACCCGTTTCACACGTTCGCAGTGTTCCCGTTCATGAAAATTGACACTGTACGTTGCCGGCGTGAGCAGTGACTCAACCAATCCAACGACACTAACTCTGGGCAGACATATCACTCCTACCTTAGATCCGCCGAAGGCTGTGCCGTAGTGGAACTTGCCCTGGAGGACACCCGCCTTTCCCGCCAGCAGTTCGATGAGCTTGCCGACCGTCATACGGGAAGGGAAGCCGTGCGGGTTCATGATAAGGTCGGGACATATGCCTTGATCGTTGAATGGCAAGTCCTCCTGTTGCGCAATGAGGCCTACCACGCCTTTCTGGCCGTGGCGACTGCTGAACTTGTCACCTATCTCAGGACGACGTGTCTGCCGCAGCAGCAGCTTCATCAGGAACGACTCCTCTGTGTTGGATGTGATAAGCACTTTCTCCGCATACACCGGTTCCAGGCCTTTGTATGTAACAGGAACCTGCATTGACGCAAATAACGTTTCAGAAATCTTTTACAGTTAAGCTGTAACTTGCATGCCTCCCTGAATTTGTGACGTCCATCTCAGACTCATGCACAAAAAAAAAAGTCATTACCAAGAGCACTTTGACTGTGACAGCCGTCGTCTGTGTTCTGTGTCTCCTATTTTCATCTAAATCGCACAAACCTATTCAAACACATTACCATCTATGACCTATTGATGAAGTCGCAGATGACCAACATTTGTGATGTCATTGATAATGCAACATGACAATCAATCCACATGATCGATAAGTCAAAATGGGCCGATCCCAGCGGCAGTGCTACACCACGTGAGCTACATAAAGCTTCAGTGCAAGTTTTGCAAGTGCTTCACCACTTCAGACGAGTCCATACTCGGTGACAACTTTTCTTGACAGCTCTGTGGAAGCTACAGAACTTAAACCCTCGCCTGCATTCACAACGAAATATGTCTTCATTATTTTCCTATTTTCAGAGTTACTTAGCTCACATAAGTAAAGCTTTCTACATTATACAAATAATATTTTTTCGCTTCTTGGACAGTTCCGAATTTCCCCCCATGCCTGCTCTCGCAGTAAACGTGGCGTTTCCGATGCTGGTGGAACCGTTATGGTCCCCGAACTCGCCGTTTCGTTCGCCAAGAAAGATATACCCGAAATGTGACAGAAAGTGGCTGCCAAAACTCATAAAGCAAGTTATCTGCAACATCTCCACTGAGGTAAAGTGCTGCCAGCCTGAAATATCGGTGAGTGCTGTGTACCGGACTGTCGCCGAGCTTTCCAGAGTGAGTGAAAGGTGGTCCGAAGGAAGGTTGAAGCTTTGTGGGTCTCAATCGCTTGCCCAAAGTGCAAAAAAACTGATATTCTTGGGCAATGCTGACAAAGGTATGATTGTCAAGATGAGGCTTTGGCACTAGAACAAGTTTTCACTGGCAGCATTTCAAAGGCAAAGTGCGAAGATTATTTCATGCGCAATGAAATGCTTTCTGCGAGGAAACTCAGCAGCAACATAATCAGCTATGCTGACATAGATATGCCAAACATCAGCACTCATATGGTGCAAAGGAATGCTGAAATTGGGGTTCTCTTTTCACAAGATATAATGGAATTTCCTGTCCCTCATAAGAGAATGCATGATTGCTTGGTGTTGAAAGTACCTCCAAACATTCTCACAAAGGAGCACGCAGTAGCAGCAAAGCTCTTGCGTTTTTTTAGGTAAGGTATTGTGTTATCTTAACTTCTCCAAGTTTTCGGTTCGTGCACTTGTTAATATATGTAGGCTCAGATAAATTAAAAATACGTTTCCTTGCCTTGAGCTTCTGTGCTCTCTTAAATAACATATGACTGTGATCCAATAAAATGCCTGTTTAAATGAATTAATATTTTTTTTACCAATAAAAGTCGGTATGTTGAACAGTACCTTGTTCTTTACATGCTACACGTATACTACACGTAGATATGGAAAAAAATCTGGCACATATCACACTCTGTGAAGGTGCCTGACCAGCACCTCAACTGAGTGCGCGACCAGCACGACCAGATAAAAGAATTTCTATCAGTTGCTTTCGAATTTGTTAGCTTTCTTAAAATTTTTCAATTCAGCGGTATCATGGTGCTTGCATCTTTTGGCTGTTGGTTGTGTTTGGCGACACTTGTCATCTTGCACAGCTTCCAGAGCTATTGTACAGTGCTACAAACGGCTGTGTATTGCGACTGTACCAAAAATTGAACACTGTAAACATTGGCAATTGATCGCATGCAGTGCGTGCCCACATATATTGGGCTAAGGTATGCACCACGCACAATATTTGCTGACTGAACACAAACACACGGCACATAAGCATCAATGTAATAAACGCTGTAAATTGCCACGAAAATCTTCTGAAAAGTGGGAAATTTTCTGAGTAATGTAGTACACTAATTAGGTGTGACAATTAGGCTTGTGCAAATAGTGAATTTTTAGTTCAAAGCGAATTCGAACAACATAGTGATTTTGGTCAAATAATTTTGAATTTAATTTGAGAAGTATATATCATATATTATAAAAAATTTGGCATATCTGTTATGACCTTACTAACCTGCACAGCATTTAAAAAAACTAAGACAAGGCGTGTGCAAATGCCAGTTTTTTGGTTCCAATAAATATAAAACAACTTTGAATAGTAGCAGGATTTGACTTCCTGTAAAATGCAAGCTGTAACCTGCAAAATTTGTTCAATTTAAAATTTACTATACTTAGAGCATGTAAGGCAATGTAACAAGCTTTTAAACTTTTAAAAATGACGAATCAAAGTCGGGCATGATGTTCATTTAACCTTCAAGTAGGGCTTCACGGCAGTGCGAACTTCCCCTTTAAAGATGCTTTCACAGTTTCACACACCTCCACTGCAGTGAAACCACCTTTACAGAAGGAAAAAAAAATTGTTTTTATTTGTTTAATGCGAGCACTTCAAAATTTCCAACAATTTAAATTGGAGTCGAAGCGAAGTCGAATATTGTAATGCTCGTTCGAATATTAGATGCATTTCGAACATTCACACAAGCCTAGCGCCAGTGCATGATGATCAGGAGAGCACCCTCCTGTTCCCACTTTGCACGTACATAAGTTTCTCAATGCGCTAGCACTATGAGCAAGGAAAACCGAAACTAAAACTGAAATCGGCTGCAAGCTGCCGGACGACTTGCCTAGTAACACAAATGCACGGATGACCCGCCACCGTAGCCATCGAACCACTGCTAAGATAAGCCGTCGCCGAGTATAGACACTGCATTGAATGGGCGTGCCTGGCAAACATGGGTTGAATGCGCATTGTAAGAACTTCCGCGAAGGAGCACGTTCATGAAAAAGGCTGGCGAGGGCAGAGACCGGACCGTGCAAGTCGGCCCTGTTGGTCACCTATCTTCACAGAGCATAACGGTTCCAACTCTTTTTGTTTTCTTAAATTACCGTTGCTTTGCATGCAGTGCTATAGAAAATCATTATAACGATTGCCCATTCCCGATAAAAAACAATGATGAACACTTGTTTAGTAGGAGTATAGTTTCCTTCACACTGGAGACATTTGGAAGAGTTATCGACGTAGCTGAAACTGGGCACAAGTTTTGTGGCACATCCCTTGGATAGCAAAGGTCTTGCAAGCAAGATCAATGCAAAAAAAAGGGTAATTTCTATTTGCCGGTGCTCTGCCATTTCAGTGTTACGGAAACACACGCACAATACTTCCTCATGAAAGGGAACACCATACGCCTAACTGTGGATTAAGGCTACAAAAACCTGCATAGATTGCTAAGAAAGAACGTGTTCCAATTGAATAAATTGATTTCATCAAGACCGAGGTACACAGAACATTAGACTGTCCTTTTCACAGTGTGACTGACGCAAACCACAAATGTGCTAATTCTGCTTTGTTTTCAAAAAAGAATACGTATTTAAAGAAAAATGCACTGAAGTCTTGCCTAATTCTGAGATACCTTTAAGCCTGGTAATCACACTTTTGTCATACTGCTTAGCTATAGTTTTGGGCACTCGGGCTAAAAACCTTGAGCAGACACAATTGACAGCAAATATTCAGGTAACCAAGAACTAAGAAACAAGATACTACACTGAGAAAGCTACTGTTTATTAAATAATTGATAAGCATGGCTGTGTGTAAATTTGATGCATCGAGCAAAATTATGTTCATTTTGTTTCACTTGTTGATTCAGCAGAAAGTTGAGCCATTTACCAGCTCATCCGCAGCAGTGGCCCAGATGCCTCTACGTCCTGGTAATAAACTTCTTCACAGTGGTTTCACTGTACACGAGTCAATACGTTTCGTACACAATGCACCTAAGATGTATCCAGTGGTGTAAATGGTGTTGTGGCCAAGTGAAATCTGAGAAAAGCCATTCATGCCAGTCTTCAAAAGAGTACAAAGTGGCAGGAGATGCAAAGGGCTATGCAGCCCTTGACTTTGTTAGAGCATGTGATGTTTTGTATCAGCACCTATCTGTAATTAAGTAAAACTACTCACTAGGAACTACAAAACAAGGCAATAAAAATAGCCACACATTAAAAAAATTGCTTGAAAGAAATGCACCCAAGAATGACAAACCTCTTTGTGCTCCGCTTGCGTTGGCTCACCAGGCTGGGGTACACTGGCAGTGGCTGCCGGAACCCACTTGTTAATTAAAACCTGGCGATTCTCGACTCGGGAACCAGGGCGCGCAATACCATCGGCATCCAGGGCCTCATGCTTCCACACCGGCATCATGTTGGTACTGTCTACGAGCGGTCCCATGATCTTGTCGCTGGTCTGGTTGGCGTACTTCTTAATGACGCACTTCTGCGTCCTGTACACCTGACAACGCCCAAAGCCACGGTCAATTGACGACCGGTTCATAACGATGGCGTCCTCGATATCGTATCCGCTGTAGCTCACCACAGCCACGATTGCATTTTGGCCGGCTGGCAGGTCTTCGAAGTTGATCAGTTCGATGGTCTTCGTTTTGACCATTGGCCGATGCGGGTAGACCAGGAGGTACATTAGGGAGTCCATCCTGTTCCGTTGGTTGAGGCCGATGGTACCCATCGCCTGCTTTCCCATGGCACACTGGTACGTGTTTCGTGGAGACTGATTGTGGTGTGGGTACGGAATGATACCTGCGCAAACTCCAAGTAGACTGAAGGCTTCGATCTCGAGGTGCGTCGTCTGCGAGGTTATGTCCTGCTCACGGAGCGCAATGTGGCTGTCATTCTCCTCGTTGACATCGAGGAACTCAACGATGCCCCTGCGAACGAGGTCGTTGAAGAACAGAAAACCCCTGGTGAGATCTTCGATGTGAGTATTGGTTAACTTGGGGCGCCCCTTCTCAACGATGATGTATGGTCGGCACATGCGGCCACCATCAGCTGAGACGTACACACAACGCTGCAAGTGGCTAGTGTGGAGGGAGATAAACTCCGACAGGTAGCCCGATCTACGAAGCAGGCGGAGTGTCTTCAGAAGACGCACATGGTCTTGGATGACACCCTGTATGTTGCCATTGAGAAACACTAGGTACACTGATGGGTCAGAGAGCTCTTCACCGTTTAGGAGTTGCAAGTCTTCCACACCAAGGTTTCGCAACATCCGCGCTATGAAGGCCTCATCTATGTCAGTGGTGATGTGGGTCATGAGTGCAAGGTTCTTGACCAGACCACAGGCCTCGCCTTCGGGAGTGTCACTGGGGCAGAGCATGCCAAACTGTGACGGCTGAAGTGAACGAGGACCAGACACTTTTCGAGTTTTCTCAAACTGGCTGTTGACCCTTGTCATCATGCCAAGAGCTGAGATGTAGGAGAGTCTTGTAAGGACCTGCATAGGGTGGCACATGAAAAAGTGTATTTGTCATGTATGTTAAAAAATACATCCAGCTATTGTAGGAGGCCACTAAGTTGCCCAAATTGAGTTGACAAATGGTACCCTGAAGTAGACAGAAACGAAGGGTTACTGGGTAATCCTAACTTACTTTACAGTGATATGGACAAGCACCTCAATACTAACAGAATGTGACACAATGAATCAGAATTTAAAATTGTGTTGCTGTATCTTAATAAAGAAGAAAGCCTTCTAAATAAGAGCTAATTCATCATGTTAGCACTATCATGCTATAAGGATTACTGCTCATACCTGAGTGACGCCAACGCGTTCCATCTTGAACCGCTTGACAGTCCAGTTTCCAGTTGAAATGGACATGCACAGTCCATGCGTGATCAAGTCCTGCCGGATGTAAGTTATCACGTCAAACTGCGTTGCCCGCACCTTGGGGATGTGCTTGTCAGCAACCATCTTGAGCTCCGAATTGAAACGCTTGAAGAGGTCTTCAAAAAGGAGTGACAGCAGTGAACCGGCAAGCTCGAGCCTCTTGTTGCCGTAATAGTCGCGGTCGTCGAGCAACGCCTTGTTGGAATGGGCATCGATAACTCTCCTCACCATGATGGCAAGGTAGAAGCACTTGATGCGGAAGTTAAAGTCTTCCACCGGAACGTGTGCCAGCACCGTGGTAGCGAGGATGTCCCTAGCGTCGTCGACGACGGACTTGCGCTGACCGCCGCCTCCACCGGTCCCTCCAGCGAAGAACATTCGTCGGTGTTTGAGCTTGCTGCCAAGATACTGAAGGGCTTGTGTCTGTGTGAACACCTCAGCACGATGGCACTCCTCTAGTGATGGGGCTATGGCGGACTGAACGACGTCAGAGGTGCCAATCATCTGCACAATGAGCTGATCGCACTCCAGGCCCATGGCCTTGAACACGATGATGATAGGAATGTCCTCCGTGTAGCAGTTGTGCTTGAGGACGTAGCGACCGTGCTTGACTCCGACCACAGTGCGACTTTTGCGCTCATGTGTGGAACTCGTCACCTGCGAAGGTCAAGAGGAAAATCGACTGAGATGCAAGCTCCATAGGATGTGCAAACGCCTTTCTTGAAAGACCAATTTTCATTTTAAGCGACACAATGACCTAAACAGAAAACAAGAAAAAGAGGGTATTTTAGATTTACTTTGTAATGAGATGGTTTATTTATATCATCCATGCAAAGCGGCAAGAGGTGTATTACTAAATTTATCTTTGGCAAACCAACAATTAAAACAGACTAAAGAAAATACTTTCATAGCATCCTGAAAGAATTGATGACAAGTTTACTTGACTAATGATATAACGAGCTCTCTTTACATGCTGAATGGGTTTCCAGAAATGTAACAGAAACCTGCAATCAGAAGTGACCCTCTAGCGACCCCGAGCGCAGTGCATAGTGCGTCAGTCCCCTGAGCCCACTACCTTGCCAACTACTACCGGTACATCTGCACGTAGTCCTAGTGAGGATAGCTGGCCCTCAAGCCTATTCGCACTGTCCACAGCCTATAGCTGGCATACGAATTATACAAACATGGTGGTCTGGAGGAGGATAGTGATCAAGTGAGATGGCGCAGAAGCATAGTGTAGGAATTTTTTTGACAAACGTAACGATTCCAGGCTGCTTTCATTATGCGGCATTGAGTGCCATTTTAAAAAGGATTACAATTGCACACAAAATCAAGGGGTAATGCGAACAAATGTTTAAACCAACCATTCATATGATGGAGTGCGGTCGAAGAAGCAGCCTCAGCTATTATGCAGTAATCACTATTTATTTGGTCTGTATCATTCAACATTGTTAAACTTATCTAATAAATTTAGAACTGAGCTTTCAGCCAGTGCCCAGAGCCGGTCTGTGCAATATGGTGTGTAAGCTCAAACAAAACAAAATAATTTGTGAGCATCAAGTGCCTTTTCATTCTCCGCTACACTAACCTGCTTGTGTCCCCAGACGTCACGTCAGTTTCCCATGGATAAATGTTGCGACAATACACACCGTCTGTGGCTGCCATGCCGCTCTCTGCCAATTAAAAAGTAGCTGCATTATTTCATGTAGTGCAACCCAGCTCGGGCACTTGCTGCCTTGAAAGGGCAGTTTACAAAAAGGGAAGGGGTAGAAACGCACCATCTGTGTCATACACAATATTTTTACTGAGAGCCTGGTTTGCACACCGAGGCAAGGTGCCCGTATGTTGAATATTTTGACTCGATTGTGAGAAAAATTAACAAAAGCTATCTGCCTGCACGGCAGGTGTTGGCAGGGCTCGCACTACCTTAGTAAAAGCACTGCGTTTTTTAATCTTTCTCGAGGCATTTTTATCTCTATCCCCTATGCGGCCCCTTGCTGATCACGTCCATTGGGATAGTTTTTTTTTTTCTCTTTACGTCTGCTTTTTTCTTCTTTTTTTCCACATGTCTGTCCTAGGGTATCATTACAGCTATAAGTACAACCTCCCGTTAGAAGGAAACAGCAACAAATCATAATCTTCATCATCAGTGCGAATACCGCTTAGTCGGGACGGTTCACACCCCATTTGCGTTTGGACGTCGTGACAGTGCCCTGCTCTTTCGGTCTAGCTGCTTGGCGCACCCACCTGGCACATGATTCCGCTCTTGCGGTCCTCCTCGACGATCATGCGGTTCTTGGAGAGCTGCTCCTGCATCAGTATGACGCGCTCGACGCCGTTCACCACGAAGTAGCCGCCGGGATCATACGGGCACTCGTTCAGCTTGGACATCTCGAAGTGCGTCTTATTTGCCAGCACGCAGTTTGCGCTACGCAGCATTATGGGCATGCGGCCGATGGGGAAATCTGTTCGCTGGACGCGCTCCTGGCCCCGGGTGTACTCGATGTCGACCACGATCGGCGCCGAGTACGTAATGTCTCTCAGCCGACACTCGTGAGGCGTCGTACGACGTCCCACAGTGAAGTCTTCCTCGATGTTGGGCTCACCTACGCGAATGTCCAGATACTTTAGGTAGAAGTTTGGGTCCGCATCGCTCGTGACGCGCTCGTTGGCGCGCATGATCTCCTTGAGCTCTACGTTGATGAAGTGGTTGAAAGAGTCGATATGGTGCCGCACCAACCCGTTGATCTTGAGGAAAGCAGGCAGCAGCTTCCATTTCTCGGAGATATCGCTGATCGGCGCGTTGAGCTTGTCACGCGACAACTCTTGCTCGCCGCTTCCGAAGAGCCAAGCCATTTTTGTTTACGCCGTCACCACGTGGTCTCTCTAGAATGCTGCTTAAAAAGCATTGGATCGTTGTGCGTACGATTCATTACGGAAACGTTGAACGCCACCACGGTGTGCAGGAATTGCGGCATACAACGAAACACATGCCGCACATAGCGGCACGATCTCTGCCACGGAGGAAGGAAAGTTTTCTTTTCTCCGTGATCTCTGCACTGCAAAAGCCATGAGAATCGATGTGGTGGATTCAGATTGATTTTGACTTGGCCGGTTTTCGGACTTTTTAGCTACTACCGACTGTTAGGTTTCGGCCAAGTACAGCGGGCAAGTGGCAGAAGTCAGTGGTCTTGGCCTCGTTTTATAATGTACTATAATAATTATCTAATATTCCAGTGTTAGCTATAAAATGTTGTAAAATATAAAGAGAGGTTTACAAGTTGCGAAAACTACGCTGTAAAAAGGAAGCATGCTGTAGTTGCTAGCTTTGGACTATAGATGGCGATGTCTTTTGCAAACCTGCATGATCTATAAAGAAAAGGGGGACAAATCCGTGAGGACAAAGCTGACATAAACAACTACCGTCCTATAACAGTGACAACAGTGGTCTACAGGCTGGCGATGCAGATTTAAAGGAAAGACTGCAGGCATGGATAGAGGATGAGGGGGTGCTGGGGCAACTGCAGATTGGGTTTCGGAAACACAGGAGGTTGGAAGGCAATCTGTTCTCACTGACGCAGTGCATTGAAATAGCAGAAAAGGAACACAGGCCCCTGTGGCTAGCATTTTTGGATATCAAGGGAGCGTACGATAACGTGGTTCAAGAGGAATTGTGGGGAATACTGGACACACTAGGCTTGGAAGATGTAGTCACTTATATTTTAAAGGATATCTATAAAGGTAACGAGGTAGTTATAAAGTGGGAAAAACAGTTATCCAAGCCTGCAGAGCTAAAACGGGGGCTAGACAGGGGTGTCCCATGTCACCCTTATTATTCATGATGTACCTACAAGGATTAGAGGCCAAATCGGAGGGAAGTGGACTGGGCTTCAACCTCTCTTTCGTCAAACAAGGAAAACTCATTGAACAGGCACTACCTGCATTGATGTACGCAGATGATATAGTGCTAATGGCTGACAACAAGGAAGATTTGCTGAGATTGATGGACATCTGTGGTAATTAGGGAGATAGGTTAAACTTCAGATTCAGTAAGGAAAAATCAGCAGTCATGATTTTTAATCACAATGAAGGTAGTCAGCTTAGAATACAGGCGGTCACGCTAGATATAACAGATAAATACAAATATCTGGGCGTATGAATAAGCAATGGGACAGAGTACCTAAGGGAACATGAAATATACGTGACGACTAAAGGTAACAGGAATGCAGCGGTGATGAAAAACAGGGCACTGTGGAATTACAATAGGTATGATGTTGTGAGAGGAATATGGAAAGGGGTCATGGTTCCTGGTCTGACGTTCGGCAATGCAGTCTCGTGCATGAGATCAGAAGTTTTAAGCAAGATTAGAAATTGAGCAACGTGGAATTGGTAGGCTTGCCTTAGGAGCTCGCGGGAATACACCAAATTAGGGAGTACAAGGTGATATGGGGTGGACATCATTTGAGGGCAGGGAAGCTAGCAGCAAGATAAAATTTGAGAAGCGATTGAGGGAAACGGGGGATGAGCGTTGGGCTAGGAAGGTATTCAGCTACTTGTACATGAAGAATGTCGATACAAAATGGAGGAAGTGAACCAGAAAATTCACTGGTAAATACTTAGAAAACAGGAGGGGGCCAAACAAAAGAACTACCTAATTGGTTAAGAAGAAGGTGGAGGAAACGGAGACCGACATGTGGAGAATTGGCGTGATTAAGAAGTACGCACTAGAGATCTATCGAACTTTTGAGGAAAAAAATTGACAAGTAAAGGATTTATGATAATACTCGCGGTAGTTCTCTACTGTTTAAGGCCAGGACGGGAGTATTGCGAACCAAGACTTATCAGGCCAGATGCGAAGGGGTAGACATGGTATGCAGTGCGTGTGGAGAGGAGGAGAAACTGCCGAACACCTCATAATATTCTGTAAAGGGCTTCACCCTATCGTTCAGGATGATGGCGTAGAGTTTTTCAAAGCTCTGGGGTACAGGGACAGGGAAGGCAAAAATAGACTTTAAGCGGGTAGAAATAACCAGAAGGAGGTTATTGATTGGTGGCTAAAATCAAGGCACGAATGAAAATTAAATCCTTCACTGCAAAGTAGCAGTCCTCAACTTCACCATTTAGAGAAAAAAAAAAGACAAATCAAGTTTTTTGATTCATTAAGTATTACGGCTAGGTGGCGTTAGCCGCCGCCCAATTCGAAAGGTACAGCCATATCAATCCATTCATCCATGCTACGTGCATTTATTAAGCGGGAAAATATGTGCAGGCATTTGGCAATGAACCGCGGCTGACTCGGCTGTTTGCTTATACTATTTATACTAAGTTATTTTTTAATGCGCTGTAGACCTATCCCATCTATCTATTAAATCTGAAGTATTTTTTTGGGGTTCTGCAGGCACTTTGATTATCTATCTATCTATCTATCTATCTATCTATCTATCTATCTATCTATCTATCTATCTATCTATCTATCTATCTATCTATCTATCTATCTATCTATCTATCTATCTATCTATCTATCTATCTATCTATAGCCACCTACGATTTTTAGCTCTCCTGGCAGTATCGATAACGATATCAATGTCAATATTGGTACGGCATAACATGACTATATGACGAGCATAAGTGACCAGTCATAACTTGAAAACCATGCTATGTACGTCATGAATGTCATGATTTACATTACATGGTCTTGCTGCTTTTTCGGCGGTTTCGTTCACATGACATATTGCGAAATTGGTATGGTATGACATGACTGCATGGAGAACATAAGTGACAAAATCTAACGTGAAAATAAGATATGCATTTTATGTAATTCATGACCGTCACGCTCATGGTGCGACCATGGTTTGTCGCTAGCTTAACATATACCGAATTTGGTGTTCGTTAATAGATGACGAAGGTATATGACAGGTGCAAACATAATAAGCATGACATGCGTGTCATGTATCAACATGCACCTACATGCCACGCTCATGATGCGCTCGCAGCCATTTCGCTAGCTTCACCGCGGCTACGTGTGGCACATACCCGTGGGTGGGCGTGTGGCACAGGCGATGACTTAGCCAGATTTTTCTTTTGGCGGGAGAGGGTTTTCTTAAATTGGGGGAAAGGGAGTGACACTCGTTCTAAATTATCTTTCTCGCTCTCTATGCCATGGCGAAAAAAAATCGGGAGGGGGTGGCACGGGCCCGGTGTTCAACCCCTTGGCTACGCACCCGGCCACAAGTAATAGACAGTTTATATCTAGCCATGGACAGCGAGAACATACATGGGTAATTTTAACGCGTAGGCGTACGTGGGATTCCTCTTCACGGGGAAAAGGGGGGGGGGCGAAGATTTGTCGCAGACTTGCAGCAACCCCCTCCCTAATACGTCAATGTATGAGACAGACTTATCACCCACCCTACCTGTTTAGTCAGCGTAGGGGGCAGATTTTGCGCCCCTTTAGATGACTGGAAAAGGGGGGGGGGGGGGCGTCCCTCACCTCCTGCTGCTCCTCTAGTGCGCACGCCTATATTCACGAGAACGTAAACAAAAAGCAAACATCTAAAGCGTTGACTTTACAAGTGCAAAGAGTAAATGTCAGGGTCCCAGCAGGAATTCTACCCCAAGGCGCCAGGTCTCGGAGCCACTTTTCAGATAAACCATCATATTTGTGAAACGTCCATTGTGGTTGCTGTGCTGGCTATTAACATTACATACCGTCCCGCCACCACAGAGGTGACATACGTGACAATATGGCAGAATTCGCACCGAGAAGTGAGTTGTTCCTCAAGGTTTTGGTACCATATTCGCGCTCCGCCCTCCAAGTAGAAATACACGTGCCGCGATTCGGCTATGTCGTCCCACCCATTCAAGGTAGCCACACGCTCGAAGTCAGCCAACCAGTGTTGGGCATCTTCGAGCTCGATGCCATGGAACGACGTCGGAACCTGTGGGGTCTCAAGCGTGTAGCAGTTCACCGCTGTGCTTTCCCTACCAGCCTGGGTTGGATTGCACAGAAGTGCTGGTCATGCTGGTTTAGGTGCCGCGAACGGCAGCGTCGACTAGCGGGGGAAGTTCCACTGTCCTGCAGGCTGACCCGATGCACGGTGGTGGTGACTGGCACCGGACTTGTGGCGCGGCTTCCAGGAGGGAGTTTGTAACATCCGTGAGGGCTAGCCAGCGCCTCCAACAATTGTCACGTCGCCTCAGAGGTCCAGGCGAGGTTTGTTGGTCGTAGAGCAGCAGGGCTCTTGGCAAAACGCGTCGGTTGAGATGATGATGGTCCTTAGATCATTGGCACTTACCCTCTCTGGGGGATCAGCCATGAGTCGGTAAAGCTCGCTCTCGAAGAGGATTGCGCGCGCACTTCTTTCTATCGCTACCTGTACCACTGGGCATGCATTTGACCCACTTTTATGTACTTCAGCAGAGTGACTTGTAGGGCGAGTTGGTCTTTCTTAACGTAGCCTATGACACGAGAAAAAAAAAAAAACACGAGACAAGGACAAGCGAGGCCGGACGGCGTGTAAGCATTAGATTGTTAGACCATAAGGCATATTTGAGGGCAACATCTGGTTCAAATCTTTTGTTGCACTTCAAATAGTGCGGCTGCACACCATTACTATCATAGACCAAGGTACTCGCAAGAATGAAAGGAAAAAATGGCTCGAGAAATAGAGGAAGCATATTTATTAATAGATTAGGTGACGCATGCATGGTGAAGCCCTCAATTACGTTACATGCCGCCGAGATGGATTACTTGAGTTCTAGCCACTAAAAAAAGGTTTATTTTCTGCTAATATGACTTGTGACTTTGTTGGCCTGTATATGTGCGCACTTTTTTGAGTAAATATAACTGATAGTTTGCGCTTGTCCTCCTCTCGTGTTTTTTTCGCGTCATAAGCTACGTTAATAATGTGTACTCCAATGATACAGCCGTCATGTCGGGTTAACGTCAGTCGTGATTAGGCGCCATCCGTTAAAGTTAATTTATGCGTCCAGGGCGTGGTCCAGTGCTACCATCCTCGCGAGCAGCACCAGCACTTCATATCAGCTTACCGCTTCTGATCTTTCCAATATTCATGT